ATGCCGTGGGGTGTTGGTGGCAGCAATTCCCATGAGCCGGCAATGTGCCCTTGAGCCAAGAAGGCCAACGCCATCCTGGGCTGGATGAGAAGGGGTGGGTGTAGGGCAGAGAGGTTCTCCTGCCCCTCTGCTCTGCCCTGCTCACACCACAGCTGCAATCTTGTGTCCAGTGCTGGGCCCTCAGCTCCAGGACAGGAACTGCTTGAAAGAGTCCAGCAGGGCCACAAAGTGATGGAGGGAGTGGAGCATCTCCTGCTGAGGAGCGGCTGAGGGAGCTGGGGCTCTTGAGCTTGGAGCAGAGGAGACTGAGGGGTGCCCTCATTCCTGGGGATCCATTGGGAAAGGGCAGTGTCAGGAGGAAGGAGCCAGGCTATGCTCTGGGATGGCCAATGGCAGGACAAGGGGCAATGGTCCCAAGCTGGAGCACAGGAGGTTCAAGCTGAAGATGAGGACAAACTTTGTGAGTGTGAGGGTTATGGAGCATGGCCCAGGCTGCCCAGAGAGGTTGTGGAGTCTCCTTGTCTGCAGACACCCAAAGCCCTGGCCGTGTTCCTGTGTGACTGCTCTGGTGATCCTGCTCTGGGGGGGTTGCACTGGGGGAACTTTCCAGGGCCCTTCCCACTCCTGATACTCTGTGATTCTGTGAAAACCAAAGCTTCTCCATGGTGGTGACACCTGGCAAGCTTGGATCATGAAGCGTAGAAGTGACATCTCCTTGTGTGCTGCTGTGGGACGCGTTGTCCAAGGGCACATTTTCCCCCTTGATGAGGTTGCCATCACGGTGGGTGGAGGTCTGGGGGGATGCTACACCATAACACTGCCACTGCCCCGTGTCCTCCCCGCAGACCGGCCCGGCCTGATGAACGTGAAGCAGGTGGAGGAGATCCAGGACAACATCCTGCGGGCGCTGGAGTTCCACCTGCAGACCAACCACCCCGACGCGCAGTACCTCTTCCCCAAACTGCTGCAGAAGATGGCAGACCTGCGGCAGCTGGTGACCGAGCACGCCCAGCTGGTGCAGAAGATCAAGAAGACGGAGACCGAGACGTCTCTGCACCCGCTCCTGCAGGAGATCTACAAGGACATGTACTAAGGACCTGTTTATTTATGAGAATGAAGCCATTGGATTCCCAGCGAGACTCTTTGTACAGAAACCGAGCAAACCTTTCCCCACGTCTTCCATTTCTCCTACTGGAAACTCTTTTCTACGCCACCCTGACGTACGGTACGGAGGGCGAGATGCCGCAGGAGTTTGCAGCCACCACCTGCTAGCCCAGGGCTTCCGTTAACACACACTAACGCATCTACAACAGCAAATCATAAGCTACTCTTTTCTGTAACTACAGCCCCTTCAGCTGCTCCCGGGGGGCTCTGGAGGGGACGCTGGGGTTCCTGCGGCAGCTTTTGGGACAACACGGGATGCTCCGGTCACCAGGAGACCCCCAGCGCGGTGCAGGGCCAGCAAAAGCACTTACAGCGTGTCTTTATTTTCTCTTTTTCTATGTATTGCACTCCGAAGACGTCGTCCTGAGCTGTGAAGTCAGGGACTGCGTAATGAGAGGAAGTTTCTCCTTTTATTCCCAAAGAAAAGCCAGAGGATTTGCAGACGGGTAGCGCTGTCCATCTGGGCTGCAGCCTCCCCTCGCTGTGTCCCACAATGAACCGTGTGGTCCCTGCCTTCCCCCAAACGCTGCGTGGGAGCCCCTCACGGGTGTGCACTACATTGCCCTTGCTCCTGGTACCCCTGTTTCAGAGGGAGCCGGACCCTCAGCACCTCAGCGTGAGAGAGGGAGGGGTGGGGAGGTGGGAGGGCAAGGGTTTGACACCTAAAAATCCACTTTTGGAGCTGAGGCCGGAGTCTGCTGCTTCCCCAGGCTTTCCTGTGCAGACACCAGTTACCAAAAAGGTCTGTGCAGGGCCGGGGCAGGCCTGGTTGGGGTTTAGTGGGGTCACAGCTTGAGTCACAGCTCCCAGCCCGAAACCACAGGGGGCTCAGGGGGCTTTTGCAGGGCTCTGGAGCAAGCAAAGCCTTCAGCAGCCCCAGCGAGGGGAGAGCAAAGCCACGGCCGACCCGCAGTGCTCGTGGTGCTGAATGGGCAGTGAGCTGTCTGCTACCTGTGCCTCAGTTTCCCCTCTGTGAAAGGGACTGGCACCAGAGCAGGAGCAGGAGGATTAAGGAGTGCATTGGCTGCAAGGAGCTTTGTCAGACCCAATATAAAAGCACATGGATGATGGAGCCTGACCAAGGAAGCAGCCCTTGCCCATCTCCAGCTCGGGGGGTGCCGAGCAGCCTTATTAAACCATGGATATTCCCAAGGAGGGGCTGTGGGAGCAAAGGGGTCGGGTTTATTTTATTCTCTTCAGGGTAGCAGATTTCCCTGGTGCAATAAATCCCGTAACACCCCAAAGGGAAGAGCGCTGAGCTTCCCCTCCATGTCACAGCGCTGGCCGGTCCCAAACCTGCCCCTGCTGCCACCCTCTGGCTCCTCGCCGTGCCTCAGTTTCCCTGCCCTCTGTCCCCTTCCCCTCCCTACCTCGCAGGGGGGTGATGAATTACCGTTTCTAAAGCACTTTGAAGCCCTCCCGGGGGAGGCACCGGAGCCGTGTGTGGGTGTTGGACGGAGCCAAGGGGGGATTTGTCCTCCCAAATTTCTCCCCCATGGCATCCCCACCATGACTCGCGTGCCCTTCACCCGGGGAACGTTTTTTGCTCTTCCCTCCTCGACAGCATAACAACCCTCAACCTGAAATGTATATTTTTGCTAGAAGTACAAACCTCCCAAGTGTTTTTAATAATATAAATAGCGTCCACAAGCTGACTTGACTTTAAATAAATCGGAACTAAGTATTTAAGAACCTTTTTTAGCACCCGGCCTTTCTCTGGAGGGTTTCTTTCGGGATCGGCCC